GTAGCAGTAGAAATATGAAACTTTTTTTTTAAACAAACCAAAATGATTAGTACTGAGGCAAGGGAAAGCTTTTAAAAATAGCTATGACAGAGGATAGGAAGTGGTAACTTGGAAGAAATATGCTCGGAGAACAGAAAGTAACAAGGTACACAGAAAAGAAGGCAGTACACAGAAAAAAGGAAAGGCTTTGTAACCAAAGAGAGGTATGAAATCCTGGATCCAACCACTTAACTGATTTTGGGGCCTTGAAAAGTCACTTAACTAGTTCAAGATTCAGTTGCCTTATTTGTAAAAGTGTCAATAATATCTGTCTTATAGAACTGAGGTGAGGATAAGAAATGCATTTCATATGGTTCCCTCATTTAGTAGTGGCTCCATAAGAAAGTATTACAATGAATAAATTATGCTACTTTTAAATAATTTTTCATGAAGTAAAACAGCCAAAACTAGTAAAAGTTTAAAATGTGAACAATTTCACAATGTAAATATTCAACATATTTTCCCCATCTCCTATGCTATGTACCTCTACATAATCTATCTCATTTAAAAGTAAACAATCATCAAATATCTTATATAATTAACCAAAATCTAAATTTCTTTCATAAGCATTCTGTTTTGTAAGTTCCTTTAGTTTATATCTATTCTAGGGAAATAATACTAATGTTAATGGATAATATTAATAATAAAATAATTCCACTATTTAGCAAAATAAGTAACTTCTAGGCCTAGAAATAAATTGTCTACTGTGTCAACACTATACTGTCTATAAAGTTTTTTTCTGATTATAAGATGATTAAAATCCTCTACAGTTCAGAAAATTATTTTCAGATTTGAAATTATAATCTATGTCTGGTGATGTGGAATGCACTACAATCAAGGTAAAGCTTGCATAGATATGTACTTGAAAGGTATATCCTCATTCGGCAATATTAAGATGTATTAAAATCCAGTTGAGTTTGCTTCCTTGCCTCTGAAAATAATCAAAGCCAAGGAGTTCTTTATTATGTTTAAATATAAGTTTATGCCTAGAATCTTCTATGATGTTTTATGTGAGTTATTAATTCATTACTACCTAGCATCAAATTTCATGTGTAGGAGTAAGTTAGCAGGTATGGACATAATATTGCTGAGAGAAATTTATGTATATCATTAAGAGTGAAAATCAGGCCTTTGGAGAAACATTTTTCCTATTATCTCACAGATGATATTTTTTGTATGTCATAGGATACCAACACGAAATCTGACTTCAATCAGATAGGTAGAAAGGGCTAAAAAATGAAGATTTAAGTCTAAGCAGATTCTAGATAGTAGAGTAATTTCTTTCAAGATAAATGAAGACAGGCTAAAAAGCAGGATGGTACTTTTAAATAAAGTCTGGAAATAGCATCAAGTTTTTGCCCCAAATATAAGGACTATGACAAAACTGTAATAGGAAGAAGACACACCACTCTGGACCTGCTCTTACATTACAGATATTTTTTTTTTTTTTTTTTTTTTTTTTCCTGGAAATCACTATGTATCTCAGGCTGGTCTCGAACTCACAGCGATCCTCCTGCCTCAGCCTCCCAAGTGCTGGGATTACAGGCATGCAGCACCATGCCCGGCCTCATTACAGATATGTTAACAGAGTTTTCTGAGGGGTTATTGGAATTTTTTTCCCATGCTCACTGATCTTAATTTTCAGGCCTCATTGGGCCAATCAGCCACTTAATTCACTTGTGTATCAAAAGACTTATATCCAGTCATTTTGAAAATCTCACATAGCAATTCTGTTTAGCACATTGATTTTTAAATGTCAACAAATATTCACCTCTACATCCACAGATTGAAGAATCTGAGATGCTTCATTGTTGTCTTTTATAATATGTCATTAAAGCAAATCACGACCTATAATTTATGCCTGTAAAATGCTCTTTATGTAAATGCACTAAAAACCTCACTGCAGTGAGACTCCTTCATATGAACATAGTGGTCCTATTTCTTGACTAGTAGTTTTCTTTACAATATAATTTTTTTCCTCCTGATATTATTCTAAAGCACCACAAATGATCTTTAAAGTTGCCAATGCAACAGTCGCTTTTTCTTTCTTGACCTTCTATCACTGTTCTCCCCTGTTATTCTCGCTTGGTGTTAGGGATCAAGTCCAGGACCTCATGAATGCTAAGCATATGTTCTTCAATCCATCCCTCTGCCTTTTGATATTCTCTTCTCTTTTAGTATCTAGGACTCCAATAACTGGAATGTCTGGTTTTCTTTCATTTTTGCACTTTCTCTGATTGTTCTTCTTCCTTCTACACCATAAACCCAGGTACACTGTGAGATGTCTTTGGCTCTATTCGTTTCCTGCTCTGGTAACCCCATAGCTCCAGGTAACTCCCTCATATGGGTTAAGTTAGTCACAAATATCTAAAAGCCAACTAGACAGAAGTCTTGATTAGCTTTCCTACCTAAAACCACTGAGATTTCCTACTAGAACTTCAAATTGAATATATCTGAGGCGGAAGTGTCATTTCCCTTTTGTAAAGCCTACTATTTTTATGGTTTTTATTTCTGTTAAGAATCTCATCATCCTCCTAGTCATTTACAAAGACCCAAAATTCTCTATACTATTTGGTCCCTCCTACTTTGCCACAAACTGATAAAAATGCCAAGTCCTATCTGTTCAACTGTAACATTTCTTTTATTCATCTTTTTCTCTATTCTTATCTGCAGGGATTGCCTCATTCAGAGTCTCATTATTTCTTGCCTTCCTCATTACAATGGCTTTTACACTAATTTCATTGAAAACACTATACTCAAAACTTCAGTTTTTCAATGATTATTGTAAAATCCAATCCTTAGCCAGGCTCTTAAAAAATTGGTTCTAATTATTTCCTAAACTTTTTACTGTTCACTTATTTTCTTTCATATCCTTTTTCTGCTAAGTATTTGCTCCATACATGTCTGGTTCTCTCATACCTTTCATGTCTTTGTTTAAGTCCACTAATCACTACCATGGCCTTTGCCCACTGTCTGTTTTATTATTTCCTTTCTACCCTTCAGGCTATACCTACAACACAAGTGTATTTCAACAGGAAATTCTGTAACTATCAAGCTGGAATTAATTTTTAAAGATTCTTTGAGAAAACACAGGATTTATCTTTTTGTTTATAGGGATAAACTTCTTCTACTTCCTTATATTGTAAACTCCTTGAGAACAAAAAAATCTCTGCAGTCATTAAACATACCTGTATGGTCTACTTGATAGTTACATGAGACTGCTAAGCACTAAAAATATGGCTAGTTCATATTAAAACATGATAAATGCAAAATACACACTTAATTTTAGACTATGAAAAAAGTAAAATATTTCTTTAATAATTCTTACATTGATTAGTTGGTTGTTAAGTACTATTTGGATACTCTCAGGTTAAATAAAATACATACACTATTGATTTCACCTTGTTCTTAACCTTTTCATACTGTGACTATAAGAAAATTTAAAATTACTCAGGAAATACCCAAAATTACTCACATGTGCCTCATATTATATTTATATAAGACAGTGCTTCATAACATTCTCTGTGAAATACAGATAAATGAGATAAAAGAAACATTTGCTTCAAGGAACTCAAACCTGCTCTACCATTAAAATGTCCAGCATAGTGCCTTCTCTATTAGTTAATGACTGAATTTCATGGCCAAATCTGCAACTATGAGGGCCTAGTCAGCAAGACCTAATAATAGGACTAAAATTAATTATGTAAAAAAGCTCTAGAGACCTTGGAAGGCAGAAATTAGGAGTTGTGGGAACTGGCAAGAGTTTCTTCATTTTTGATGAGTTTTGCATGCATGATAGCAAATGCTAGGGTAAGCAGGCTACATCAGGTCTAGTAGTGATATCCACTGATATTATTATATAACTCCCTTAGGGAAGCTGTATATGATGATAGCCTATTTCCACATGTACTATAATAAACTATAAAAAACTGTTGTTCCTCCACTGGTGAACAGTACAGAGACTATTACAACTGAAACGTAAACCTGAAGACTAGTAAGCTGAACTAAATCACATGTAAAGTTTGAGCTCAGTTTGTTTGTCACATGAGTATGAAATTAGTTAAAACTGAAAGGGGAGAAAGAAAAGAAAAAAGGGGCTGGAGATTTAGGTCAGTGGCACCACACCTGCCTTGAGAGCACAAAGTCCTGAGTTCGATCCCTGGTACCACAAAAAAGAAAAGAAAAGAAAAGAAAGAAAATAGGTATTTTCCTCTTTCATACCTAATGCATCATGAAGATACTGTTGTCCCACCAATTTGAGATATTCTTCAATAGATTTTGTGGCAATGGTGTTCTCTCTGAAGATCAAGACATCATGCTCTCCACAACGATCTACCTCAGACATCACCAAGTCAGTTAGAAAATCCTAGTAGAATAATGTTCAAATAAGCAGAAACAACTGAATAAATAATGTACATTAAAAGTACAGAAAATCAAACATCTTCAGAATGCTGCTTTAAAAGCTAAGCTACCAGGTTTAATTGGAAGATAAAAATCCTATGTGTCACTACTCCTAAGTTTAAAATTCCTTCAAACATTTTTCATTGTACTTTTGAAAAAGACTGTAATTCTGATTGCAGCCTCCAATCTCTGGATTCCCCGGTTTCTGTCTAGCTTTTCAGCCATCTAGTACTGTTCTCTCTGCATTCTGCTTCAGCCTTTGAAGCATTCTTTTTAACATCAACCACTTTCTACATATGACGTTCTCTCTCTAGCACAAAGCCTTTTGCAAATGCTACTCTCAGTTAAGCTAGACTCCAACCTTCACTCCTTCTCCCAGTATCAGGGAACTAGTTCCTGGGATCGTTTGGCTCTTAGCGCACATATCATTTTCTTAGCCAATACATCTCTAGCCCCTAATAGTTTCTAGCATATATTAATATTCAATACACAGCAGTTACAAATTGGCTCACAATATCAACATTGAACTTCTTGAACTTATCACTTAAAGTCATTTTCAAGTGCTCGTTATGGCAGCACATGTTCTAAAATTGGCATGATACAGAGAAAATTAGCATGGCCCTTGTGCAGCGATGACGTGTAAAATCATTTTCAAGACCGACTATTCATCTAGCTGCCTGGCTGGCTATCTGCCTGGCTGGCCATTTGTCCATCTGTCCATTCACCCACCCACCCATCCATGGAGAAGAAAGGCATATAAGGAGAAATAAAGCCCCGAAGAAACAACCTCTTCATTCCTCAATGGTCACAGAAGAACTTGACGTAAAATTCAATGTTTATTATCATTTGATTTGAAATGTGATAGCATCATATATTTTGAATATTACATATTTACTGGATATTTTAAGGGGCTCCAAAACTCAAAACAGAGGTAATATGCAGATTTACTTTTACATACATACTTTAAACTTAAGCATTTAATACATTAACAGGACTTATATTGGAGCAGCTCAATAGTCTAATAAAGTTGTGGGCCTAGGAATCATTATTAAAATTTATGGTAATGGACAGGAGGAAATTTGGGGGTGATGGTAACATTTTGTGTCTTGATTTAGATGGTGGCTTCAATGGGTGCAGAATCTGTCAAATCTTACTGAATTCCACTTTAGACGGCTGTAGTATATTGTAAGTAAATTATGTTATCTATTAAAGTGTTTCAATAAAATCTTACTATATCCTAAACCTGTAGCAACTGAGAAGCACAAAAAACATATTCAAAAAATTTCAAAGGTGAGACTCAAAATTTCAATCAGATCTTACCCCAACTCATAAACATTTTTAAAGATTATTTTCAGTAAATTCAAGCACAAAATTTATAATCAATAGGAAGCCAGTTAGATAAGGGAGTAAGTAGCTAATATTACGATTTATATCAAGAAATTTTAGTAACACTTCATTTTTTTGTTCTAAATAAATTACTCTACCTGTGAACATCTCTGGATATGAAGTTCAATTTTACTATGACCAGTTGGCTTAAAACATATTGGAGACTCAGCTTAGTTAAGTGAATATGAGTCATAGATCATAGGTTCCATCAACTGGTGGTTGTTTCTTTCTACAATCGGCATATTTCTCTGTTGCTGTCTTCCTGTATTTTTACTTTTAGCCAGGATGAAATGATACAAGGCTATCATGAAATGAAACAGCTACCAATTTTATAACAACCCTTGGTATTTTTACTCCAAATATAGATTTTAACCCCATGAGGAATCTTGCTAATACTCAGCAAGTTTCTGGAATACCTCCTTCTGTGCCTGTGGGATAGCCATCAGTTAATCTTAAAATACAGTAGGGCAGAAAACCATCATGCAGCACTCTAGAACAGTGGTAGCAAACCTATGGCATGTGTGCAACAGTGGGCTGCTTATATTTTTGAAAGCTCTAAAAGGTTCACCATCACTGCCCTAGCATTAAAGAATTTGGATACAGTGTGGGGGTAACATACCAATCCTACCATTTATTTTATCAAATAATAAAGAAATGATTGTGGTATCTATCTTTTATGAAAACAGACTTTCAAAAAATACTGGTTTCTCCATTTTACTTCTTTAGTTTTTTTTTAAGGGAGGGTCTTGCTATCTAGTTCAGGCTGGCCTTGAAGTCATGAGGTAACACAGGCTAGTCTGGAACTCTCAGCAATTCTCCTGCCTCAGCCTGCTGGGATTACTGGCATGCACCATCACACTCAGCCACTTCTTTAGTTTTATAATTCTCATTTCTTCTGAGTCTGTTAATAGATTTCCTCTTAGCTCTTTCTTCTTGTGATCACAGCAAAGTACATTTTTCTAATTTGGATCTCTACAGCATTCATACCTTATTTCTTTGTAATAAAAGACAGGGAAGAGTTTCCAGGCAACACAATCCCCCTCTGCCACTTACCTTGGCTCTCCCAGTACTTTGAAGAATGTGCACTAAGGCACAAGCCAATTCTTCTTTATTTCTCACACTAATTACTGGCTCAAGGACAGAACACAGCATAGTGTAGTTGCTGGTGATAAATTCTGCAAATTCTTTGTATTGCTCCATAGGCAGAATGGTGATAGTTTGGAAACGCGACTTAATCCTAATAGAAGGTCCTCCTGTCTTTCCTTTGTTGGGTGTAGGGGTACTCACTGGGTACCACTTTTCTACAAATTGACGACCAGTAACACTGGCAGTGGGGATGTTGACTAGCCCTACATAATTATTCTTGTCCTTTTTCTTCTTTTTTTCCACATCCTTATAAATGTGAACTGTGATACTATGAAGAGGTGGAAGGCTATAGAATTCAAAATGTTCACCCCAGAAAATATTGTCTGCTTTGGTCTTGCTGGTTGTACGAGCAAAAAGGGTATCATCAAGGCACAGTTCACAGAAATACTTCTTTTTAGGGGCAAGGTCCTTGGCTTCAATGATCCATAAACGGAGAACATTTTCAGCTCGTCTGCAATTATCCTATGAAGAGGCAACACAATTGAATTTGAGAGCTAACATCTCAGAAAGAGAACATTTCCTCTTAAAGTGATACCAATTAAGGGGAGTCAAAACGTAATAAAAATGTTTTATATTTTATTGTTTAGGATGAGAGGAGGGTCTAAACAAGAATGTATCAGAATCTTAGAAAAGCATATATATTCTATTTTACTTGGGTTGAAATATCATCTTGTAATAGTTGTAGTAAATTCTCCTATAGCCATCTTAATGGCAATTGGAATAGTTTTTTTTTTTTTTTTTTACAAATATAAGAGATAGTCAACAAACTTGTATTCTAGTCCCCTTTCTCTAAATCATTAAATTTTTCTGAGTCTTCTTATCCACACTGGTAAATTCATAGTAATAACTATAGTGAGATTATTTTTACTATAAAATATCCTAAAATGTATATGTACTTCAAAATTGTTAAGCTCTTTAAAAATTAAGATATTACCATTACATTTACCTTCTATCAACTTACTCTTTTCAAAGTGATACATTTTTAGACAATCAAAGCCACTATTACCTTATTTGGTTGAACTGTCCTTCGAAGGTTTTCCATCCACTTATCTCTTTCGGAAGCAGAGTTACAGCTGAAGCATTTACTTCCACTTAAATAAGTGACCTTCAACATAAAGATTAGAGGTAAAGAAAAGGAATTATAAGATTTGGTGGTTCTATCTTTCTAATTCTATCCTGTAAGAGTCAGGGATATGTTGCCAATCCAAATCATACTAAATGAAGCTAAAATGATCTCAGCTAAGTTTTATGATACCTATATCTAAATCTATACCTGCTTTTTAATTTTTTTTCTCTATATAGCATCCATTTTCATTCTTAGGTAGGAGAATACAGGTCATTTAGAAATCATCTGGCTTATGACTCAAAAAAATCAAAATTAAAAACCTTTCAGGCTACATCTTAAATTAACTGCAAATGAATATGCTCGATTCTAAGTTAAAAATAACCAAAAATGGAAGTTTCTAAAAAAGATTTCTCAAGACTGCTTTCATTATAATATTATAGAAGGCTGCTAAAAGAAATGGAAGAGTTTAATAGTAATGAATTACTGTCTTTGGAATCTTTTTCTCCACTAGGCAACTATCCTCTTGATTACCAGTCATTTACTAGGTTAGCCTGATCACTCTTATTATCATCCTTTAAAAATGAAACACGATAACTAGCACCTAATACTGGGTTTAGTATAGTCTACTGAACTGAGTTCCACAAATAAGGAAAAGTTCAAGTGATTTTTAGAATACCAATAAATGACCTGCCCAAATTGCTGATGTCTGCTCACGTATTAACTCAATCTCAGGTCATAATTCAATAACTCAGAACAGATTATATATACTTTGTACATTATGAAAGCTACCAGCCTCATGTGGCTAGTCCAAATTGTGCTGTAAATGTACAAGTGTCGAATTTGAATATTTAGTATTAAAAATGTAAAATATTCATAATTTTTACATTACATGTTGAAATATTTGGGTTAAATGAAATTGAAGACTTTGTATATGGCTTGTACTGTATTTCTTTTGGAGAGCTGGAACCAAATTGTTGTAGTTAGAATAATTATTCTTTGGGTTTATTTCTCAAAATAATGTTAAAATTGGGGTCTTAAGAGGTTCAGGAGAAAAAAATAATATAACATAGTGGGTGACATCATTTATCAATACCAAAAAATTAACACATTAATAAGCTATTGCTAGTCTGCACCTCTGCTGACAGTATAGTAAGTATCCATTTGGTGGTGGTGGGAGAAGCAGAAAAGGCCAAGTGAGATGCTATCATTAATAATTTTGATTACAAATACAGATTAATTATATTTAAATATAATTAGATTTTTCAATATTTCACTTATAAACAGATAATTTTCAGCAAGTGAAACCACTTTAAGATAATGAAATTGGCAATGCCATAGCAATGAAATCACCAAATTACTTGAATAGAAAATCTTGTTAATTACTTACTCTCTTCTTTCTACATTTTTTACCTCAAAGCAGAAGTCTTGTCCAAGGATGCTACTATGGAGTGGTTTCACTGACACAGGTTCTCCTCTACCAAGATCCAGACATTCCACTGCACTGCATGGACTGAGCAAGGATTCATGGGAACGTGATTCTTTTAATTTAGGCAGCCCACGAGACCTACAGATTGAAGATATTTCAGGTAGTGTTACCTTGGCCAACAAGGAAATGAAGGGTTAATGAAATGGAGGCTAACAACAAATGCACAAATGCCTAAAGTAAAAAATAAATGCACTAATTAATAATTTATAAAAATAGTAATTATAGTCACATGACAAACTATACAAACATATGTGAACACAATATTTTTGAACACAGAATAAAAACAATAATTTTTATTAGTTTCAAGGGAGTGCAAAAGTCCTCTACAAACATTATTTTATGTTCATTCTTATATATTGGAAGATGGAGAAATACACACCACAACATTTAGGATTATCTTATGCATGCCTTTTTATGCAAACATATAGTCAGAGAGCACATGCTTTCTTATTTTATTCATGCTATGGCCTTATTCTCCTATCACTGACAAAATAATAGTGGCTAAACCTTCATTTTGTTTCTTTCTGCTCTGACAGAAAACACACACACACACACACACACACACACACACACGCACGCGCGC